CTGGGATCATGACCTGAGCCGTAGGTAGATGCTTAATGACTGAGCCACCCAGGTGCCCCTCAAGTTGCTTTTAACTGATATCTATTTCTTTGTATTTTCTTTCTATAGGAATCACCTTTGCTATCCCCTAAAGTTAATTAGCTACCTGACATGTCCACCCATCATAGTGAATTGTTCCAATGACATTTTATTAGAGTAGGAGCTGTGTTCACTATTGCATCCCTAGCATTTAGTACAGTACCTGGCACAGAGCAGGCTCTCAATAAATATTTGGTGAATAAATGAGCAAGTCCAGGCCAAGATCCACCCAGCTGTGAGTCTGCCCTGAAGTCTAGATTCCACAGGATTTGATAGGTTTTCTATTTTACTGCGATTGGTAAAATGGGTTTTTCCTTTCCAGTTGCATAGTTTCTCTCTTGATCTGTTATTCTTTGAGATAGACATTTTGAATATTCCTAGATTTCTCCCTTTTCTTGAGCTTGGCATCTAATAGGTCACTTAGCTTCATGATTTCTACTTTCTTAAAATTAAGATATATTTTCTATTCCTACTGTATCTTCATTGTACCTCAGGCCTTTTTTTCCCCCTTTCCTTTTTTTTTTTTTTAGTGTGATATTTGATATATACACAAGAATGTGAGTAACACATAATAAATTATAATTACATGTACGCCTGTGCGAACCACCACTTGCCTAAGAATGGTAACATTACCAGTCCATTGCCTCTACGTAGGTGCTCCTCCCTGACCCACCCCTTGCCTCCACCTAAGAGGTAATGGCTAAGCTGAAGTTTGAGTTCTCATCCTCTTGCTTTGGTTTCCTTTTCAAATATAGACTTATTACATATAAAAGTATTCCTAACAATGCATTATGTAGATTTACTTATTGAACTTTATAAAATAGTTTCATACTTTGTGAAGTCTGAACTGAATTTTTCATTCAACATTTATGCTTCTAAGATTCATCCATCCTGTTGTGTGTGGCTATGACTCACTAATTTCATTATTTAATTTCATTAGTGAACACAATGAGATTACATTGTGTAACATAACATGGTTTCTCTATCCTCCTGTTGATATTTGTTTAGACTGTTTCCAGATTTGTATTTGCTACTTCGGACAAGATTGCTATAAACATTGTTGTTTATGTCTCTTGGTCCACATGTGTAAAGTTTTTCCGGGCTCTGTATCAAGAAGTGGACTTTCTGGGTGAAAGGATATGCCAGTGTTCGACTTTAAAAGATAATGCGAAATTGCTTTTCAAAGTGATCTGTTTATACCCATGCCAGTAAAACATAAAAGTTCCCATTGATTTATATTCTTTCCAACATTTGGCATTATAAGATTTATTAATTTTTTCCCTTTTTAGATGGGAAATTGTGTCTCCTTTTAATTGTAATTTATATTTCCCCGAGAAACGATTTTGAGATTGTTTTATATGCCTACTGACTATTCATGATTCCATTCTTGTGTAATGCCTGTTTGTCTTTGCCCTGTTCTTCTATTGGGTTATTTGAGTTTTTCTTCTTGAATTAAAGTTCTTCATACATTTTAGATCCAAATTAAATTCTCTATCAGTTGTAAGTATTGCCAATATTTTCTTCCAGTTTGTGGCTTGCTTTTTTAAATTTTCTTTATAGTATCTCTATAACCAGAAGTTTTAATGACGTTTTAATAGTAATAATGTTGAATTTATCAATCTTTTATAATTAGAATTTTTTTATCTTGTTTATAAAACATCCAGCTCTACACTGAATTTATAAATACATTCTCCTATGGTTTCTTTTAAAGGATTTAAAAGCTTTGTCTTCCACATTTTAGATGCATGTGGAATTAATTTTTGTGTGTATGGTATGAAGTAGGGCTCTAATTTTATTTTATTTTTTCCTTATGGATAAACAGTTATCCTGTAAGAGCATTTATTTAGATTGAGATATATTTACAATATATATTGCTATGAGAAGAAAGCATACAATATAACAGAATATATGGTATTTTGAAAACATAAAATATACATATAGTATTTAGTGCATATACAAAATTTAAAGAGACATACACCAAAATAACAAACAATAATGATTATCTTTGGGTAGTGGGACAATTGATGATCTTTGTTTATTTCTTCTTTTCTGTGTTTTCCAACTTTTCTCCGTTGAACATATATTCATATTTTTTAACAGTGAAAAATAAGGTAGTGTTTATAGATGATAATGCGGTGTCAGCACATCTTAAAGAGAAAACATGAATTTAAATTCTCCAACTTAACTTTTTTTTATGTAGCTTCTTCCATTCCTAGGGGTGGGGGAGAATGTTTGTAGATTATGCAGTAAGTCTCAATAGAAGGTGAAAAATCTGGGTGAATCTTCTATAATTAGTTAGATAAAATTTCTCTCTCCTGAACTGCGTTTGCTTTACAGGTATGTAAGACTCTTTGGAGAATAGGATCCATGTTACTTATGTGTATCATTGATGATATAATTATTTCTTTTTGATCAACAGCAGATAATGAAAAGACTTATAAAGCGATATGTTCTGAAAGCACAAGTGGACAAAGAAAATGATGAAGTTAATGAAGGTAAGCATCTCCACCTTGAGAAGCATCCTTTTGCAACTAACTTAATGACCTTGGAAAACTTGATATTGAAAGATACTTTAAAAATCCAATCTCAAGTAACAGTTCCAAGATTGATAGGAGAATCTTAGGTTACATTTCTAAAACTCTATCTTTTAAAAGAAAGGGTTATTAAAAATGTCAATCAGAGACAGTTGATTTCTATTTAGAATGCCCTAACTGATTCTTAGAATGTAAAACCTGCCATCATTTTGGGAACGTTTAAATTCCTATTACATAAAGTAGTCTTTAGTTTCAATTCTTTTGCAGTGAGTTCACGTGAGTGTTAACATTTTTCCAATGTTAACATTTTCCAATAAAATAGTTGGCTGGTTGGCTCAAATAGAACCTACATTTCTTCAGAAAAATGTTTCCTTTGTTGTACAGAAAGAAATCTGTAACCCATTTTTCTCATCTGCTGTTTCTCTTTTCCCTTTCACTTTTCTCCTTGGCTCCTTATTTAAAGGTGCCTATTTTTCCAGGCATATCCTAGGCAGGGCAGCTGTCTGTACTATAAAAATGTTTCACCAAACGCTAGGCCAAAGAACAGGCCCAGAGTTGGATAGAAATCAACCTGGGAAAAGTAAGTTGTCTTAAAAATGGAAACTTAGCTTCCAATAGCAATGAGATGCCACTAGATCTATCTATGCTGATAAGAGAAGAAAGGGCTAAACTAAATAAAACGTGATGGGCAGGTGCCTGCTTGGCTCAGATGGTTAAGCGTCTGCCTTCAGCTCAGGTCATGATCCCAGAGTCCTGGGACCAAGTCCCGCGTAGGGCTCCCAGCTCAGCGGGGAGCCTGCTTCTCCCTCTGCCTCTCTCTATCTCTGTCTCTCATGAATAAATAAATAAAATCTTTAAAAAAAATAAATAAATAAAACGTGATGGGCTTCAAAGCCATTACTTGATTTATGCAAAGACTTCCTTGAAAATCTGGATCAGTCCACTGGTACGTGTATGTAGAAAAGAAGTCTATGAATGTGTGATTGAGGACCAGCAAAAATCCAATCATGATGCCCTAGAAACTGTCTCAGGGAGACAGGATGTAAAGGGGTTGTAGTTTAGAAAGCAGAAATCTGATCAGTAACCTCCCTGCTGGGTGGCAGTTGGGAGAAGAAAAACAAAGTGATCTGGGGGAATTGGATTGCGGACCGCATCAAAAACAAATGAGCATCTTCCATGTCCTTGCACCAAAGAGGAAAATAAGTTAATGAGAATTTGGAGTTCTGAACAAAGTTCTAACTAAACTATCATACAGTTTAACATCCTCATTTAATAAATGAAGAAACTGAGGTCCAAGAGGTTGAGTAGTTTGTGTTTCCCATATTGGCAGATGACATATAACACTTAATGACTAGTCTCCCCATAACTCAAAAACAAGGAAGGAGGTTATGGCACTAAGGAGGTGAAAGGGAATCTAGTGGGTTTGTAGTCCAAACGTGATATTGAATGTGTGAGAATCCATTTATTTCACCACAGACCAGCCTCAGGATTTCAAATTAGATCATATTGCCAGATGGGAAAGGAAGAACCACTTTTTTTTTTTTGCCTAAAAAAAGGAATCTGCAAATGTTTTATGTGTATTCTTGAGGAATAGTTAGAGTTCCTTAACATAAAAAGTTTCTGATATATGTATATATGAAAGAATGTAGAAATTATACTTTAAAGCATCATAAACGTACCAGGTAATATCATGGAAGGTATGTTTTACGTGTGATTCTTTTACAGAAAGCTTGTTAAAGTACCAATAATTTGAAGAATCATTTCTTAGATTCAAGATAAATTTCTTTTTTTTTTTAAGATTTTATTTATTTGAGACAGAATGAGAGAGAGAGCGAGAGAGAGCACATGAGAGGGGGGAGGGTCAGAGGGAGAAGCAGACTCCCTGCCAACCAGGGAGCCCGATGCGGGACCTGAGCTGAAGGCAGTCGCTTAACCAACTGAGCCAACCAGGCGCCCCAAGATAAATTTCTGCCCCAAAGTTCACCTTTCAATGTCAATGGCTTATCTACATTGCCATCATTTGCAAGACAGTCCAGTTCTTAATTGAAAATTACATATGCTCAAAATACTGCCAAGCTGAATTATGGGAATAGTTGTGTTTTAATAGTGACAAGTCTCCTCTGGAGACTCTTATGTGTATACCCATTGCCAATGGTATCACATTAAACTTAATTTTACCATTGCTTGTTACTTCCTTATACACTGGTTCTCTATGTCCTACAAAATGTTCCTTGGCCCCAAGTTTATTGCCATTGCCTTCCTTAATAATCACTCCTACTTTTTTTTCTTCCCTTCCCTTACTTCAAACCTGGCTTAAAATTTACTTGTTCCATGTCAGTATTTGCCTGTTAAACAGATTGAATCACCTTTAGTAAAATTTCATCTTGCTAGGAGTCTCTTCCATTCTAGCAAAGGGAGATGATCCATGTAGGTTTTGACCCTTATGTCTGAGGGAACCAAAGGGACTCCCTATAGACAGAATGGGATACTCTGGCTGTAGATCAGTTAGCCGAAAAATCACCCTGTGTTAAGAGGTGATTAAGCCACAGAACAATACTTTAGCTGAATTTTGCTATTGAAAACATAGCTGGACTGTTTTTATAGATTTTTCAAAGGTCAATATAATTTTAAAGACTGATACTTCTTGGGATGCCTGGGTGGCTCAGTCAGTTAAGCGTCTGCCTTCCGATCAGGTCATGACCCAGAGTCCTGGGATGGAGTCCTGCATCCAGGCTCCTTGCTCAGCAGGGAGTCTGCTTCTCCCTCTGCCTGCTGCTCCCCCTGCTTGTGTTCTCTCTCAATCTCTCTGACAAATAAATTTTAAAAATCCAAAAAAAAAATCGACTAATACTTCTTAAATATCCTGCAGGAAAAAATTTGATAAAAGTACCTTGGACTTTATGAAGCAAATGTATTCATATTATATGAATTTGTATGACTTTCATTTTTGTTCTTTTCTAAATCCAAAGAGCAAATTACCAACGATATTTTTTTTTTAAAAAAATACAAATACTACAGGTGAATTAAAAGAAATCAAGCAAGATATCTCCAGCCTTCGTTATGAACTTTTGGAGGACAAGAGCCAAGCAACTGAGGAATTAGCCGTTCTGATTCATAAACTCAGTGAGAAACTGAATCCTAGCATGTTGAGATGTGAATGACTCAGTAACCTGGAATAATGGCTTTGACTATAGCACAAATGTGGGCAATAATATTTCTAAGTATGAAATACTTGAAAAACTATGGTGTAAATTTTTAGTGTTAACTACCTTTATCATGTGAATCTTTAAAACGTAGGTCTTAATAATTTTACTGTTTTATCACATGAAAATGGTCTTCATTTTAATTGTCTGCCTTGACATTATAAACAATGACATGCCATTGTATTTAAAGGCCCCGTATTATTACATTACTGACATTTTTGTCCACTTTAGAATAAACTCTGTGTCTTTGCACTACCTATTTGCCTCCAAGAGAATGTAAGCTCCTTGGGGACAGGGACCATGTGTTATTCATCTTTGTGTCTCCAGCGTTTAGTACAGTGCCTGGTACATAGTAGGTGCTCAATAAATGTTGAAACCAACTAAACGGAACTGCCAACAAAATACAAATAAAAATAAAAAGGCCATCACTATGTAGCATTCCTTCCCTTGTCCAAGTGCTGAAGAGATTTTTTTTTTAATAGAAACTAAAGAAATTTTATAACCAGCCATGACTTGGTAAGATTTTCTTAGAATTTTTGGCATCACTCATGATCCTAGAACCTTTGAGACCTGAATGAAGAATTTAACAATGAAATGGATTAATAGAAAATATAATTACATTACATATTTAAGTTTCATATAATTGTTCAAAACAACACATTAAAGATTTTTCTAAAGTATATACAGTTTGCTTTCTGTCTTAAATGTTCATTTGTTGTTTTTCACTAATGTGAATTTATTCAGTGGGGTAGTGAGTTTTTTTAAAGTTAGGGGCTATGCAGGGTTGCTATTCTGTGATAACCTTCTAATTTCTGCCTCTGATGCTTTAAGGCTAAAGAAAATATCAACAATTGACTTCTATCTTGCCCATTAACTTCATTCTGAGTTTTAGAGGGTATGTGTATGGGGAGAACCAAGAAAGAGCAATGGCTGTCTACCTGGAAACACATATTCAAGCATCACCAGGTATGTTTCATTTCCCTTCAAGGCATCTCTTGCTATCATTACTTAGTGATTGACATCCTTTTTCTTATCAAAGCCTCTCAGTTTACACTTTTTACACAAAATGGATGGTGATGAACCTGTAATTGATTTATTCTATAACTGAACTGAATACTGGTAATATCCACACCATCTCATGACTTTAATAAGAAAGGGGATACAGACCAGTAATATCCCTCATCTCTTCACAAGACCATAAAGCACTCAAAGTATTTTTTTTAACCATTTGGGTTTTGATCTCTTAAAGAGTTGTGCTTATCATCTGGATTCTCTTCACTCTGTTTTTTGTCAGGTCTTACAGGAATATGATTTATGATCATAGCTCAAGGCTAGTTTTATAGGTTCTAAAAACCAATTAAATACATGATACTTTAAAAATCATTAATATCACACAGAAAGGCTTTCTAGGCGTGAAAACAAAAATGAACATTAAATGGTACTACACAAAGCTCTTTAAAGATAATTTCTTAATTTCTACTTTTGGGGAGTTAAAACAGTTAAGGTAAGAAAAGAACTTTATACAATTTTGCTACCTCTGTAGAATATTTTATTGACTTTTGTGCTATGCTAATGGTATTTTGTCTGAAACATTTTTCAAACTTTATGTATTTTATGTTATACCTCAGAACTGAATAGAATATTGATTTTTTTCATGTTATATGTGACTATAGTTTATAATAAAACAGTAAAGACATGGAGTTTCCATAATAGACAGTACTTTCAGTCTTCTGGTATTGTCTCGGATTCCAAGAATGAAAGTTTTTACCTATAGCTATGGAACAGCATATTTAGCAATATTCCCAATTGGAACTGGAAACATGTTGAATGAAAAAGTGTCAGATTCATCTGAGGACATCCAGCTTAGGATCCTTGGATCATGCATATATACCCTGTGAGAAAATACATTTTTTTTTTTTTTTTAGTCTATGCCTCACACAACTGTAGAGTTCTCAAAATAAGTTGTTTTTCCTTTATTTACTATACTTATGTAAAACTAGTATGTTTCTGTTATTTCATTTTTTTTTCCTTCTTCATAGTTTCTAGGTTGTAGCCAAGAAGGAAGATGTGATGCCAAGGTGTGGTGGATACATTGATGCTATTGTTGTCCTGCCCAGATCCTTTTTAATGGGCCAGTGCAGGAATCTCCCAGATTCTGTGAGTGTTGGCTCCTTAGCAGTTCCCAACTATCCCCTTCCCCAGGGAATTGCCCTCCACTGAAAGGAAGTAGCCTTGCCTTGGATGTTATGCCCCTTTTCCCCATGCCAGTGACCAACTGACTGGAGTGGAAACAAAAGGCTGGGCCTTTGTTTCAAGGTAGGGCCAACTTTTTGGTGTAGTTCATGCTCTAGAGCTCAGGGAGGGATTAAGCTCAGCCAGACACCAGTTGAGACCAAATCTGTGTTTAGCTTTTTTCTCTGACTTACCACATTTCCATTCCTCCCTTTCTGCTGAGAACATTCCTTCAGTAAATCACCATATACAAATCTTGTTAGGCTTTGTCCACAATGAGCTCATTCTAAGACCTGGGTATTACTGCAGCAATATAGGGGCAAGAGAAGGATTACTCTAGGCGATTGCTGTCAAAATTAATGCTTCTTTGAGGTTAATGATATCTCTGGGTCAGCAAGTCCTTGCCCCACTCACCATTTTGACAGGGGCATTGTGCTTAAAAGCAACGCTCAAAGAAGTCAGTGGGGTAACTTGGGGAAGGGAACATTTTAACAGGACCAAAAACAATTTGTTTAGCAAAGGACATATAGGTATTTATGGTTAATTAGAAAATTATCAAAGTCCTCTATCTCTTTTTCAACTTCTCTGCTGTTCTTAGTTTTTTCTTTGGTTATAGATAAAGGAAAGGAGGCAACTCTCAAATTCCTTCTTAGGCTTACTGTTTAAAAATTTTGACACTGTGTTTCTGTATTGAATTTATTGATGACCCTTGACTTAATGGACTTCATAATATGTTGAGAAGCTTAGAGTCATAGACTTGAAATAAAAGAGGGAACTAAGCAAAATAGTATCCAGTGTCTTCACTATAAAAACCTAAAAATGACATATATTTTGTGATTATTAAAAGCAAATTTAGTACAACTTAGGATAACTCTTTTACCCAATCATGTCCAATATGTTTCATTTACCCACTCATGTCCAATATATTTCAATTTCAAATATGTTAAGCCAAATGAAAGAAGCTTTTGTAAATGGGAAGGTAAAGTGTCTTATGAATGACGTCTAAAGAGAACTGAAGCCACATCGATCGTTAATTGCTTGCCCTGGGACAAATCTGGTTTCATACCTTGTTCAGTCAAACAGAGTTATGCTACAAGCAGGTTCTCAGTCTTTGGGTGTCACAGAGCTGTTTCATGGGGCTGATATAACCATCCGAGGTGGTAATGATCTCTCTCCTCTTATTTCTTTTTTAAAATCATTCTAAAAGGGTTATTTATTAATTTTTTTTAAATAAGAGTTTGAGAGTTTCCAAATTGGTACCACATGTTAGTGGAGAACAATGTATATACTCATGAGTCAGTCACTCAGTCAACCACCTCTAGCTGTGTGATGGTTTTAACTTTAATGCAGTTTAAATTGCTCTCATTCTTAGTCATAAGTTGTTTAATTTATACTCATAATGATTGCTTTAAGACCACAACATAAGGTTTATAAGTTACTGAAGTGTACGGTACTTCTGTAAATTTGTCTCAAGGCGACATTTATCACATCTGAGATATAATGATTTTTTGTTTTTGTTTTTGGATTTTTTTAATGTAGCCCACCAAGATGTCTCTAGTACCTTAAAATATGTTTGAAAAGAGAGATTATAGTGGCAATTTTGTCTAACTTGGCTTTTCATTTTTGTGAATAAAAACCCTAATTATATAAGAAGTATTTAAAATTAGCCCTTTGAAGACTTTGCCATTTAGAAACAAAACATAGTACTTAAAGAAAAAAAATCACTTGCCTTTTCTACATGCAAAATGAAAGAATTCCAAATATTGTATTATGCAAGCTCTTTTTATTTTTGATGCTATATCATAGCCTCATTTCAATGTTTTAAAAGAAATTTGATCTTCAAAATAAACTTTTTCTCTTTTATACAATTAGCTTAAAGTAAAATAAACAGTGGGCATCACTTGTTAAATGGAAAAGAAGCATTGCCAGTATATGTTTTTATTACAATTATTGTAAAGATTGCATGAAGATGAATTTTATAATGCTTTCTTAAATAATATAGCAACCTAAAAGAAAATGCCTTTTCTTTAAAGTTACATTTTTACACAAACATTTTCCTTCTGTACAAAATTAATTACAAACTTGCACAATAAAAAATGAAATAATTATTAAAATTCTAAGGGCTTTGAAAGAGTATACACTACTATGAATGTGATCTGTGGATCCAAAAGGGAAAACACTGGACTAATGGTTTCCAAAATTTTGCCCAGCCCTGGAATACGTATTGAATTTCCCAGAGTAATTTTTAAAAAGATAATTCCTGCCCACTTCATCAGGTTTTCAATATTTTGATTTGTTTGTTATAATGCAAAAACAGCAATAATATCTGTATCATTTTCCTTAAGTTGTTAACATGTAATGCCAGGACTTGAGAAGAGAAACAAGAGAATAGATAGTGGAAAGATTTGGTACCTACTGTTTTGGATAACCCTTTTTCAGAACCTTGCAAACATAGGGACAGAAGAATGCTCATTTTGGGAACTACACAGCATTAAACACAGGAGTCTTAGAATCTCTTAATTTTTAATTTTATTTTATGACAATTTTATTTTTAAATCGCAACATTCTATTAAAAATGCAAAAATCTGGGCACCTGGGTGACTCAGTCGGTTAAGCGTCTGCCTTTGGCCCAGGTCATGATCCTAGGGTTCTGGGATCCACTCCCGCATCAGGCTCCTTGCTCAGCGGGGAGACTGCTTCTCCCTCTCCCTCTGCCTGCTACTCCCCCTGCTTGTCTCTCTCATGATCACTCTGTCTCTCTCAAATAAATAAATCTTAAAAAAATGCAAAAATCTTATGGAAAACACAAAACAAGATTATAATCCTTTAATCTATAACCAACTAAAAATTTTTGGATATATTTCCTAACAAATCAGTACAATACACTATTTTATATTCAATTTTTATTATTATCCTGAACATTTTCCACATTGCTATACAGCCTTCATTATTTTCACTTTTGGTGGCTGCGTAGAGGTCCATAAAGTGGATGCACCCCTCCCTTTATATTGGATAGTTGGTCCTTATTTTAAATGGTTCTTCAGTTATGACTTCTTACTTTGCTTTGTTTTTGTAGATTAAATATTCAAAATAGGGGTTATGGGTTAAAAAAATTACATATTTATAGGATTGGATACATATTGCTACATTGCTTTTGAAAGTGTTTTATTACCAGTTTAAAGCATCAAAGTTGATGAGAACATGCTCTCTCTGCAACATACAGTGTTATCACTTAAATCTTTTTCTAATCTGAAAGGCAAAATAAAAAAGATATCTTGCTTTAATATTATTGATTAGAAATGAAGGTAATAGATTTCTCTAAGTTTGTTCAGTAGCCACTTTCCTTGTGAAATACCTGTTCATATTTTTACCTGTTTACTTATTGGAATCATAATATTTCCATTTTTAATAATTTGTATGAACTGTTTATAAACATATTAAGTTATACATAGCCTCCAAATTTTTGTTTATATGTAAAAATTTTTGTTACCTATTGAAATGTTTCATTTTTATTTTTAATATGTTTTTTCTTTGTGGTTTCTTCTATTCCTCTTAAGATCAGACAAGTTCCCTTCTGTTATGGGCTGAATTGTGTCCCACTTAAATTCATATGTTGAAGTCCTAATCCCCAGTACCTCAGAATGCAACTAAATTTGGGGATGGGACCTCTAAAGAGGTAATTAAGTTAGAATGAGGTCATTAGGGTGGGCCTTAATCCAATGTGAATGGTTTCCTTATCAGAAGAGATTAGGACAGGGACTTGAAAAGAGGGAAGACCTCATGAAGACTCAAGGAAAAGATGGCCATCTACAAGCCAAGGTGAGATGCCTCAGAAGATTGGTTTGGTTTCCTGCTGACACTTTTTGATCTTATACTCTTAGCCTGTGAGACTTGTGAGAAAATAAATTTCTGTTGTTTAAAGTCATCCAGTTTGTGGTACTTTGTTATGGGGGCCCTAGCTAACTAATACACCTTCCAATTCCCTAAATTCTATACAACTCTTATGTTCTCCTATCTCTCCTCTATGGCTTTTTCAGTTTATGTCTGAACTTTATCTGTATTTTTGTGAAATCTAAATTGATGTGTGTTTTCCCCCAAATTTCTACACAGTTAACCCATCTTCAGTCACTGTTTTATTTTTTAATATGGAGTTATTTTAGCCTCAGAAAAAGAATTGTCTGGAACATTCTGGTACCGAGTCAAAACCTTCTCAGATCCCTTGCAGGAAGTAATTTTTCTCCCTAAGAAGCACCTCTTCTCAGGGTTTCAATTCTTGTTTCACAATCACTTATGAACTCTCCACTAGTAGACCAAAGAAATCAGGATAGGGGCTGTATCTTACTCATCTGTATGGAGTATTTCTGTAGGCAGAGCACTGTGTGCATTAAGGAAGGATTGATGAAAGAATCAGGGAAAGTGAGCTCTCAGTCAGACCTTGGGTCACTCTAGGCCAGTGGTGGTCTGCAGGTCCCTGAGGCCTTTTCAGGGGGTCTGTGATTTTGAAACTATTTTCATTACACTAAGATGTTATCTGCCTTTTCCACTGTGTTGATATTTGCACTGGAACATAATAAAATTAAAAAAATTAAACCTAAGAAATCACCTACAAAAAAAAAAAACAATGGTGGTTAATACTGCTGGTACTTAAGCATGAATCAAAGCAGTAGCTTCAAGCAGTAATAATAGTTACTGCATTCCTCATGCCACATATTGGCAGGAAACAAAATTCTATATAAAAATGCCCTTTGTGAAGAGTAAAAGTTGTTAAAGTCTCAACTCTTGAATACGTTTCTTTTAAAATATTCTGTGTGATGAAATAGAAAGTACATAAAACATTTCTATTGAATACAGAAGGGTACTGTCTCAAGGAAAAGCATTTGTGTGATTATTTGAGTTGCTAGCTGGAACACTTCTTTTTTAAAAGCACAACTGACAAAAATTATGATTATTCAGACTCGGATATTTGGTATACACTTTCTGGTGACTTCAAGACTGGAATCTATCATTTCAAGAAAAACAATTGACATTTGTTGCCCGTGCTTAAAATTTGGCCTAAACACAATTTAGAATATTGCAAAATTTGTATACATGTCTAAGGTTGATAGCTTTCTAATACTTAAAAACTTTTCTGATGAAATCCACGGTAATATTAACACATAGGATTTCTTGGATGTTGTATAATGAAGACATTCCACATTGCAATTAGCTTTCCAGAAACTACCACTTGTTGATTTTGAACCAGATTTCTTCATATACTTAAAAAAAAAAACACACCTATACCAACAGATTGAATGCAGTAATAGATCTGGGACTTGCCTGTCTACTATTCAGGTGGACAGTAAATAGATTTGCAAATAACACCAGTCTTTTTACCTCTTTTTTTCCTTCGAAAATAAGTTATTTTCATTAAAATATTTAATAAGTTTTTTGAAAATACATTTTAAAATTTCAGTTCTAATTTCTAACGTAAATATCAACAGATAACCCATAAAAACAAAAGGTCTTTGGGGTCCTCCAAAATGGTTTGTAAGAGTTTTGTAAAGGGGTCGTAAGGTCAGAAGTTTGATAACCACTGTGGTAAGCTAACGCCTATAATTTTGGAACCTAATTCTTTGAAGGACCCTTTCCAGTGTCAGTAAAATAGTTCAGAATCTACACAGGTTTCAGATCGCGGGTCTACACCAAGAAGGATTTAGAAGTGCAGCTCTAGAGGGCGGTGGGGGTGGGGCCAATGCTGCGTTTGCAGTCTCCAGGGAAACCACCTTTCTCCGGTCTCCAGGATCTCTTCCTCCTTTACTCTCTGCCTCTGATTGGAGGCAGGTTAAGTCCGTGGGCGGTCCTTCGGGAGAGGGGCGTGGCTTCGTTTTGGCGGAGGCTGTCCCCTTCGCGTGAACGTATTGACGTCACGCGGGCGCCGCTGTCCTGACGCCTTGCGTTTGCATCCCCTACTGAGGCTGCCGGGGTTGTTCTTTCGAGGGGACGCTAGCGGTACCCCTTCAGAGGCCTGGGCTGTGTCAGCCTCTGTCACTCCTGTGCGGTCCCGGCGCTGCGCAGAGCGTTGGTGCCACCGTCATGGATCTAAATTTAAACCGAGCGGATTATTTACAGGTAAACCTGAGGGGATAAAGCGAGAGCCGCGCTGGGTGAGACCCGCTCCCCGAGAGGATTTTGTCCTTCCACTGACGTCTGTCGCGGTCGCCCGGAGCGGGTGCGGTGGCGAAGATGCTGCGGGGTTGGGTGCTGCGCTCGCGTAGTCCTGGTCACGGGCAACTCCTGCTTGTCCTTGAGGGTCCGCCGGGACTTGTAAAGAAGCGACAGATGCTCCCGCGTTGCTGGCGCCTGGTCCTAAAGATGCCTAGAAAGAACTGACGTGATCCCGGATAAGTCCCCGGGGCCCTTCTTCTCCCAGGCTGCAGCTACCTGTTGGCCCGTAACTCCCAAATCTCCATCTCTGCCCAGCCCCTTCTCCGAGCACCAGACACTTCTTACTGTGAGCTGGACCTCACCAGCCAGATCATCATAAAAACGGCAACTGCTTATTGTGCATGCAATTTATTCTAAGAGCTTAACATACATTGCTATTTAATCTTCATAAAAATTCTCGAAGTAGGTAATGTTACAGATGGGGATCCAGGGACTCAGATAAAGCAATTTGCTTAACAGAGAAAAAGGATGGAGTTCCTATGTGAAACAAAGTCTCTGACTCCACAGCTGGTGTTCTGTTACACCATCCTGCCTCTCATTATTTAAGCTCTAGACATTCTGTCCCTCTTTTCCATCTTCTTTTTCAGTAATCCTGTTTTGACTAATGGTGCAAAAGTTTGCCCCATCAGTTTACCTGGAAGTTATGCTAGGTACTTTCCATCTTAATATCTTCCATATTGAACTGGTCACTACATTTTGCTACTGCTTTTATCTCCTAAGTATCTCTTGACTCTGTCCCATTGTTGCCATCTCCATTACCCCCAGTTCAGGTTCTCATTTTCTTAATTGGGCTCCTAGCCTCCAGCTTCACCTCCCTCTGAGCCATCCTTCACATCACTTGTTAGAGTGATGTTTCACAAATGCAAATATAAACAGATTACTTTAAACTTTAATACTACTCCTTAGAATATGGAATAAAATTGTAGTTCTACATTATCTGTAAATCTTTTCATGATCTGTTTTTTCCAACTTCTCCCCCATTGGTCCCATCCACCCAGCCTCCTATCCTAACTGTGCACCACTAGTGATACTTCCCTGCTGAACAGGCCATGCTGTTTTCATCTTCCATATCTTTTGTAAAATAATCTTCATCATCGGATTGGATGTCATTGCCATCAGCATGTTTGGTATTTTAGCAAAAATCTTCTATGTTGCATTTTAAATAATTGTAATCTATTTCCAAAGATTTTTAATCACTTTACAAAAACTCTTTAACAACTATATGACAACTGTATATATGAAGTTTTTTATGAAGTCTTCTAGAAATATTTGTGAAGTGTTTTTCCACTATGGATGCTTGGGTGGCTCAGTCTTTTTAAGCATTTGTCTTTGGCTCAGGTCATGATCCCAGGGTCCTGGGATCCAGTCCTGCATCTGGCTCCTTGCTCAGTGAGGAGCCTGCTTCTCTCTCTGCCTGCCACTCCCCCTGCTTGTGTGTTCACTCTCTCTCTTTCTGACAAATAAATAAAATCTTTTTTAAAAAAAAGTATTTTGCCACTAATGTCGCATTACTTTTGGCTTGACAACTTTATAGCATAAATTTTACTATTTTTGGGTGTCCTATATTTTGACTTTTGTGGCATATTTCATTAGAAAATAAGTTCATCACTGATCATAATTATTTCATATCACCAATTGCAATAAAAATAAGTCTCACTATGATCTGAATCTGCTGGTTCTTTTAATCTCTGATGTAATCATTTCATGTCAGAAAACATTCACTAGGTGACTGGTGTGTTTCCTTAGGTGGGAGTGACCTCTCAGAGGACTATGAAGCTACTTCCTGCCTCAAGACATAGAACTACACAAAAGGTACTGTAGAGATAATGGTTTCTCCCTATCGCTTTAGCTCTGACAGAGGAGAGGTTTATATTTCTTTATTGGTAAGTTACTCTTTAATGTTAAAATGTAAATAAATTTCTTTTAATTTGAACGGAGGTTGGAATACCAAGGGATATTTATAGACAGTAATTTTCTTGGATGTTATAATTTTTATGTACAGTCTGTAAAGGATAAGCAGACTTGTTGAAAAACCTATTCCATTTTCCTGTTAATAATTTACTCAGTGTGTACTTGTGTGTACCAGATTGTGTATATGAAAAAGAAACATAAAGCACAATAGGATATAGAGAAAATTCTTGTTGAACTTTATCATATGTGTAAGAATAAATATTGAGGTGCCTTGGTGGCTCAGTCAGTTAAGTGTCAAACTCTTAGTTTTGGCTCAATTCATGATCTCAGGGTTCTGAGATCGAGCCTGGCATCAGCTCCATGTTCATTTCGGAATCTGCTTGTCCTTCTCCCTCTGATTCCTCCTCTGCCCCACTCTCTCTGATAAATAAAAATAAAATCTTTATAAGTATTTAAGTATTTTGATATTGAACTTTCTATCTAGCTAATATTTTTATAGAAATATTGATCCTATGATTTATATAAGCCAATTATAATTTCTTAGTAGACTAGTAAGATATTTTAATAGCTGCCAAATAAATACACTATCCTGATGTAATAACATTTTATTAAGATAAATCAACAGATTTCTGATTGTCATTTGTATTTGGTCTATTAGATCAGAACTTCTCAAATTCTTTTTGGTATCAGCACCCTTTTACACTCTGAAATTATGTAGGATCCCAAAGAACTTTTGTTTATTTGGGTTATATCTATGAATATTATTATATTAAGATTAAAGCTGAGAAATGTCTAAAATATTTATTATTTTATTTTTTAAAATAATAAACCCATTATGTTTACATAAATAACATTTTAATGAAAAATAACTATTTTCATAAACAAAAAGAATTTAGTGAGAATAGTGGCATTGTATCACACCTTTGTCAATTCTTTTTTTTTTTTTTTTAAGATTTAATTTATTTGACAGAGACACAGCGAGAGAGGGAACACAAGCAGGGGGAGCGGGAGAGGGAGAAGCAGGCTTCCCGCAGAGCAGGGAGCCCGATGTGGGGCTTGATCCCAGGACCCTGGGATCATGACCTGAGCCGAAGGCAGCCGCTTAACGACTGAGCCACCCAGGCACCCCACACCTTTGTCAATTCTTTAGTCTGGCACAGACAAAGGCACCTGGCTTCTCATGTCTGTTTCCTACTGTCTATTGTGATATATTGTTTTGATTGAAGTATACAAAGAAAACCCACCTCACACAGACACACAGTTGAAAATAGGAGTTATTTAAATATAGCTTTTCCAGATAATTATGGCTCTTCATACACGATATGACACATATACTTGGCAAGTAGTAGTTTCTTAAATATTAGTTGCAATGTGGAATATGAAACCATATTGATTAGCTTTTCATACTTTGGTACATTAAAAACCATTTGTACTTTGAATGGATCTTTTACTCATGCATGGTTTTATAGCATCTTGTAATGGTCATTTGAGATTATTAGTTCATTGAGTTATACAGATCTCCCAAAGGTTGAATGTTCAAATGTTGATTGTTCCAAATGTTATTATAGAATATCAAACAAATCACATTTGTTGATATCACTACAGATTTCATCAGAAAAGTTGTTAAATATGGAATAGCTAGCTGTCCAGCTCCCAGTGGCAGATACAAGTTTCCCAGAGTACTTATTTTCATGTGAAAGCTCAAATTTTATCATTGGGAGCAAACACTCTCAATTATTTTCCTTTAAAATGACAAGCTCACTTCCTTCAGTTTTATAAAAAAAAAGTCTACAAATACCCAAGTGTTAATAACAACATATTATTAACCATTGTTAATAGTTTACAGTTGTTTTTTCATTCTTAAAATTGTGTTTCTTGGGGTGCCTAGTGGTGCAGTCAGCTAAGCTCTGACTCTTGGTTTCAGCTCAGATCTGATCTCAGGGTTATGAGATCGATTGAGCCCACGTCCAACTCAGTGCTCAGGGCAGCGTCTGCTTGAGGTTCTCTCTCCCTCTCCTTCTGCCACTCCCCCCCCCCCACCGTTTTTCCTTCTCTTTCTCTCTCTCTAAAATAAAATAAATCTTTAAAAATAATGTGTTTCTTAATAAAACTGGGTAGTTCAGCTTGTGATTGAAACAATTATAGAAGTGCTTTTTGGTTTGCAGCAAGAGTGTTTTATGCATATTTTCTTTTTTAAAGATCCATCCATCTATTTTATTTATTTTTTTTCTAAAGATTTTATTTATTTGAGAGAGATCACAAGTGGGGTGAGGAGCAGATGAAGAAGCAGACTCAGCGGGGATGAGGCACAGAGAGAGCTGGAGAAGCAGATTCTACGCTGAGCAGGGAGCCCAGTGTGGGACTTGATCCCAGGACTCTGGGATCATGACCTGAGCTGAAGGAAGACGCTTTAACCAACTGAGCCACCCCGGTGCTGTGACCACTCATCTATTTTAGAGAGCAGGCTGCAGAGAAAATCTTAAGCAGATTCCACAATGAGCACCGGCCCAACTTGGGGCTAGATCTCAGGACCCTGAGATCATGACCTGAGCCTAAACCAAGAGTCTGATGCTCAACAGACTGTACCACCCAGGCACCCCAATTTTAGGCATATTTTCTATTTTCTCACAGTAAATATTAAAAAGAGATGACTCAAGGGTCAAAATTTAACAAGATTAATAATTTTTATTGCTTCATCCAGAACATTGTTACATGAAGTTGGATTTTTTTTTTCTTTACTCTGAAGTGGTGATGAAGATTACAGTGACCACTGGTGTGGTTTGTTGTCGTTTTGATTCTTGCCGGACACTAGCAATTTTATCCACCATTGCTTTTGTATCATCATTGCAAATATCAACCTAGTGAAAGAAGAAAGACTTACTGAGAAAAATAGTTTTCACTTGGCAGGTTCCCTAAAAAGTTCTTGTTGACCCCAGGAGTCCAGGAATCACACTTTGGGAATCCCTGAAATAGATTATTGTTTTTATAAATTATTGGAGTAGTGTAGTGTTAAAAAAACTCAAAGCCTTAACTGTTCTTACGTATTTTTTCATCTGAATAGAAATCTGCCAATACCAAAGATCTATAAATCTCCTGAAAATACGTGCATAATTATTTGTGAATGTTCATTGTTCTGGGGAGAAAGTCCATAGCTTTCATCAAATGCAGAAAAGGGTTTGCTATCCCCCTACCCCAAAGTTAAGAATCAGGGGCCTTGGGGCCCTGGATGGCTCAGTCACTTAAGTGTCTGCCTTCAGCTCATGTCGTGATCCCAGGGTCCTGGGATCGAATCCCATGTTGGGCTCCTGCTTTACGGGGAGCCTGCTTTCTGCCTCTTCCTCTCTCTCTGTCTCTCATGAATAAATAAATAAAATCTTTAAAAAAATTGGGCACCTAAGAATGTGCAACATCAAGTTTTTGGTATTTGAGACTTATTTATGTTCTAATACATGGTCAATTTTCTGATGTTCCTGTGTGCTTGAAAAGAACATTTATAATTTAATTCTTAGGATGAATGATTATTTATGCATGTGTGTGCACACATACACCCTATATATATGTACATGCATATATACATATGTGCATATATATTAGATCAAAGGTAATTGTTTTTCTAATTTATCCTTATCTTTTGTCTGCTTGATTATTAATTCCTGAGAAAGAAGTGTTGAAATCTTCTTCTGCATTTATTTCAAAATAATCCATTGGTTACATGTTGATAATTGTTGAAGCTAAGTGATGGATACATGGGAATTCATTATAATATTCTGTCTACTTTTGTATATGTTAAAATTTTTCTATTACAAAGGTGTTAAAATTTTTCTATTACAAAGGTTTTAAAAATATCAAAGTGGTCAGTCACAACTTTAATTGATAATCTGTTTTGAAAGTTAATCCTAACATGTTCTTATGCTCCAGTTGAGAAAAAAAATTATCTCCCTGACATTTCTATCTCTGTTCTCTTGTTCTGTTTACATTGTAGGAACAAAATATATGGCCAACTACTTGCATAATGACTCTCCATACCTCCTCTTTGCCCTTTTCTTGTAATTTCTTGGAGTATTAGTTTGTGTGGGGGTACTTTCCTAGATTTTCTGATCTCTACATTTAAAGTCATAATTTATATATTGAAAATCTTGTTTCCCCCATATAAGTTAAAAGGCATGATAATAGTAATTTTAGATTCTCTTCAATCTATTGTAGGTGGTTATTGGAGATCACGATGGGGTAGTTACGTGCTTTGGCATGAAAAAAGGAGAAGCAGTGGTATGTATAGCTTTTTTTTTTTTTGAGAAAAACAGATTTTCTAAAAGAGAAACACTATTTATTGAATACTCTTAGGTTAAAATTGTCCTAAAAGCAATGAAAAATGCATTGTGAGGGAAGTAGTTACATGGAGTATGAGGCTACAGGTGACACAAGAGTCATATGCTAGCTAGCTGTAGAACAGATTACTTCAAACTTCAGGGTTTAAAACAACGCACATTTATTATCTCACAGTTTCTGAGGGTCAGGAGTCTGAGCTCAGTGTCACATGGCTGCAGTGCCAGGCTGGGGTCCTATTCCAAGCTCACATGACATTATTCAGATTCTTGCTGTTGTAGGACTGAGGTCCCACTTTATTGCTATCTGTACACCAGGGCCTGCTCTCATCGTCTTGAGGTCCCCACAATTCCTTGCCCTGTGGTCCTCTCACAGGCTCACTCCTAACATGCTGACCTACTTCTTCAGGCCAGCAGGAAAATCTGTCCAGCCAGCTAAGGTGGAGTCTTATGTACATAATGTATGTACATATATGTACATACATGTAACATATATTATGTTACATTATGTAACGTAATGTAACATGGAAGTGACTATCCCATCACCTTTGCCACTTAATGTAAGCTAATCAAGGATGTGATTGTATATCATTATATTCACAAAATCATAGTTTACAAGCAATGGATCTGAGCTGTGAACACTTATATTGAAGAATTTATAAAAAGATGAATAGGTAAAAACTGTCAGAAGCCCAGTGTTTCCATTATTCATATATCCTCCCAGATACTTTATTCTCTGTATAAAGTCATTGGAGGGGAGGGAAAGAAACTGGTGCCAATAATAAAATGGAAAATAACCAGGAAAAAATTAATGATATAAATGTATCCAATTAGATATTAAGTTATACATTTGGGTTTTCAGTAAATTTTATAGCCTTTTATTTATAGTACTAAAATTCATGAAAATTATAAAAGATACAGGAGACTAGTTTTAAAAAGATGATTAAAATGTGGGTGCCTGGGTGGCTCAGTCGTTAAGCGTCTGCCTTCGGCTCAGGTCATGATCCCAGGGTCCTGGGATCGAGCCCTGCATCGGGCTCCCTGCTCCGCGGGGAGGCCTGCTTCTCCCTCTCCCACTCCCCCTGCTTGTGTTCCCTCTCTCGCTGTGTCTCTCTCTGTCAAATAAATAAAATCTTTAAAAAAAAAAAAAGATGATTAAAATGCAAAAACATGTCCATTGGAGCCAGTGAGGGAATCTTGTTAAAATGCAGGTTCTTACTTAGTAGAGTTGGGGTTGGGTCTGAGATTCTGCATTTTAATAAGGTTACTCATACTGATGCCACTGCTTAATGAACTGTACTTTGAGATGCAGAAGTTTAGATTTTAATGATGTGGCTGAAATATGTGTGGCAATAAATATTCCAAATTTGGAAGATTTTTAGCCAAAAACCTTGAAGACTCACTGAAGTAAATACATTCATATCTAAAGATGTTTCGGTAGTGGAACTATAATATTTCGTGTGTTTGAAATCACAGCATTTTTTTTCAGTAAAGGAAAATGTTTACAGTAAATTTGTGTACTTAATTTTTTCCCCAATAATTTTTGCAGGCAGTGTTCAAGACTTTACCGGGGCAGAAGATTGCAAGATTGGAGCTAGGAGGTGTTCTTAACACACCCCAGGAGAAAATTTTTATTGCTGCAGGATCTGAGATTAGAGGCTTCACAAAGAGAGGAAAACAGTTCCTCTCTTTTGAAACCAACCTCACTGAAAGCATTAAAGCTATGTATGTTTATCCTTTTTTTATTTTTACATATCCATTTATAATATTTTGGATAGGTGACAAACGTCAGATTGAGTATCATATCTTAATAGGTTTCCTGGGAAATAAAATTGACTAAAGGTACTTTATTAGTCAGAAATTAATTAACATAGAATCAGTACAAAATCAGTTGGTTGTCGAAATGTTGTTTTCTTTTTAAGACCCCTATAGTATTTATACATTCATTTTTTGACTAAATGGTTCAGTTGATTCATGATCAAGGTATAAAAGAAAAACGTAAAAGAAATCTAGAGATACTTAGGTTTCTGTTCCTTTGCTGTCTCTGGTTATTTTGGTTGTGAGGTAGCATCATTTGTCAAAAAGCTGGCTACCAAAGTTGGTAACTAGCAATAGGCTATAATTTCAGGTAAATCAAGTAAGATTCTGAGTAAAAAAATAACTCCCTTAATGGCTTCCTGATTTGTGAGATTTTGTAAGTAAAATTTTAGTTTTTTGAATCATGGGAACTAGAAGGGTTTTAAAGTTTATCTAATCCACTGTCCTCAGACCTGCTACTTAGGAGAATCTCTTGGAAGCTTAAAAGAGTGGATTTCTTGTCCTACTCATACCTGCAGATTCAGAATTATTAGGAGTGAGTGAAAAAAAGTTCTTCATTTGACAACAACAGCCAAGTTGTAGACCTTGGTTTGAAAACTATTAATTCAGTTCAGAGTTCTATGTGATGCACAGCTGTCCTGCATAATTCTGTATAATGCACATCACATGTCCTAATGTCCAGGCTGTAAAACTTTGCTTTGGTGAGATTAGGTAAAAATTAAACAATGGCAAGTGGGAGTGAGTTCAGTGGTTTAACAAGAATGTAATTTTTTTTTTAAAGATTTTATTTATTTATTTGAGAGAGAGAATGAGAGATAGCATGAGAGGGAAGAGGGTCAGAGGGAGAAGCAGACTCCCCGCTGAGCAGGGAGCCCGATGTGGGACTCAATCCCGGGACTCCAGGATCATGACCTGAGCCGAAGGCAGTCGCTTAACCAACTGAGCCACCCAGGCGCCCAAGAATGTAATATTTTTGAAATGTCCAGTGATAATTGTGAAATACTAAAATCAAAGTAATAAATTAATAATTTGCATAACTCCACATTCAGGAAGGTATGTGGACAGAGGTTTGAGGAAGATCAGGAGTTTCCCAGCCAGTATCTTTTGCTAGTTTCTTAAACATTCTTACTAGAGTGGCAGAGGTGGGATGGAGAGGATCTTTACTCAATTTTTTAAAATTTATTGTCTGAATCCCCAGATTTACAAGGGTGCACAGGAAAGCAGGGTTATAACTTGAAAATATTCAATAAGAAAGTGAGCACTTACAAAGTTGGTTACCATTCATGCATCCTTCCCTGCTTAATGCTTCCATCTGTCCCCGTTCTTGTCAACAGTAGTGATTGCAAGTAATACTTTGGAAAATGTGTAATTGCAATATAATTTCAAATGTAGTGCAGATGGATTTCAAGATGAAACTTAAAATCTTGAAAAAGATAGAATTTCATTAGGTTGGTAAAAATGATATTAAGAGGACTACTGAAATCATAGGCAGAGCCACAAAGTGAGGCCACTTAAGTGATAATCGAAGAGAAAATCAATGAAGATCCTTATAGCATAGGGAATATTTTTAGTACCAAAACTTTTTAACTAGACTTTAGAGCGGTGGAGAAATGGATGAAACCTTCAAATAAAATTACCTTCTTTATGATTACATGATTTTAGCAATCTAGAAGTGAAAGGTAATACACTAGTATATGATTTTTGTCAAATTTCAGCTCCCCCAGTAAAAACTGGATTCAATATAAGAATTAGAACATTGCTATGATTATTGCCTAAATTTTGTTAAATATAATTTGAAATCAACTTGTTTTCATTTCTTTTTTCAAGAAAAATTCTAATGAAATCATTTTTTCCCCACTGTTTATCATTTAAAGTAGATTTGCTTCCAAAAGCCTTTTCCAGACAACTTAGTGTAGTATTAAGAAAGCTAACTCTAGACCTAAAAGCTACCTGAGCCGCAATCCACTCCACTACTAGTTGTGTGCCATTAGGCCAGTTACTTAACATTTTATTGTTCTCTGTAAAAAGGGGTAATAATAGTCCCTAGTTTACAGAATTATGAGGATTAAGCTAATACATGTAATACATGTAAATCTGTCAGGACAGTGCTTGGCACATAGTGGACATTGAGAAAAAGTTACTTTTTGACATTGTCTTCAGATATAGACAATTATCATTGTCTTTGTTTTCAGTTTTTCTGAGCTTAATTTTTGAGATGCCTGAGGCCTTAAGATCCTCATTTTCAGCTTTTTAAAATCAGCGTTATATCAAAAGGCTACAAATTAAGTGGGGGAAACGGTGGGGGGGAACTATTCTTTAAGTTTGTGATAAAATGAAAGAGACTTGTATAAGTAAACTTATTTTCATATCAAAAGAATTCAGGAGTTTCCTATGCTTATTTTTTAAAATATGGATATTTTAAATTACTTTTAATGTTCTCAGGCATATATCTGGCTCAGACCTCTTTCTCAGTGCAAGTTACATCTATAACCATTATTGTGATTGCAAAGACCAACATTATTACCTTTCTGGGGACAAAATCAATGACGTCATCTGCCTTCCAGTGGAAAGATTACCTCGTATTACACCAGTATTGGCCTGCCAGGACAGAGTGCTCAGAGTTTTACAGGTTTCTGTTATTTGCATTTTTATGGTTTTTCATAATTTATGTAAATGAATATTGCTGAACAATGTGTACTTGAGATAAATTACTTATTACTACCACTTTAAATGTCCTACTTAAAATTATATCTGGAAAAAATGCTTTTTAATTGGTAAGCTAATTTTTTTTTTAACTTGAGGCAAATGTATTGAGATCTTTGGTAAGTTTTTAGAGAGACATGTATCGGAAAAAGGATGCTTTTCTGCCCCCGTGCATAATTTCTGAACTAGTTCAGTCAGAATGGAATGCCTTTGCTACAAAGAACTCTTTCTAGCTTTTTTTTCTTTCTTCCTCCATTACTCTTCCCTCCCCCAAAAATCAGATTAATGGAGGAAATTGTGTTGGGGAGAGGGTGTTAGGTTTTAACAAAGAAGGGATAGTTGTGATCAGGGTTGTATCATTTGAGTTTATTCCACATTTATGACAATATGTGGAACAGAATAAGCACTCAGTAAATATTTATTGGATAAGTAAATGAATGATAGAAAAATCAGTTTATTGTCCTTATATTTCTACTAAAAACTATGATTGGTTAAAACAACTGCATAAGGCATTGTTATTAGTAATAAGAGTTACAACTATGTCTTCTCAAAAATGGCTTTCAATAAGATACACATATGTAAACACACCAGGATCCATAAAATAAAGTTTAAATGCAAATAACCTAGAACACGTGGATTAGGTGGGTTAGAAAGTTGGGCTGATGATAGTGCGGTTGAACAAAACATTTGGCCGTTTATTCTGTGCCATCACAGGCTTTCTCACTCTTCTAAATTTCACAGCCAGAAATTTCATAGCCATTTCTTGACATCAGTCCTTTTATAGAAGGCAAATTCCAGTAGTTCTATGAGGTTTTATTTTTTTTCCTATGGGAAAAAAAGTTAATGTTCAAGGTTCATTCTAGGGGCATGAATGATTAATTTCTTCAATAGCCTGTGCTCCCAAATACAAGTTGTTTGAATAAGGCTTTTAACAGGAGCTGGCTAGTATTCAATTAGGAATTGGTCTAGCTGATTTGAGGATTCTGCTTTGTTTAACAAGAAGAGATCCATGTGCTTACTGTAAAAATAAAAAAATCACTAAGGATTTGTGAGAAGTTAAAACCTGAAGCCTTTGTTCTACCCTTCACATATCCCTACACCCCATCGACTCCACATTTGTAAGCAATCCGTTGCCCCAGAGGTAGTCTTTTTTAAAGTTTTTTTGTGTATTTTTTGTTTATATACTTGATACCTGTGAAGTTTCAAGTGTAATTTTAAATAAAAGATAAAGCATATGACTTTTATATTTTTATATGTTATTTAATTTTTTAAGAAAAATGTTATCATTCCATATTTACTATAATTTTGTGGGGTTTTTTGTTGAATGATTTATCATAGATATTTTTTCCATGTGAGTTTAAGTACTTCTACCTCATTCTTTAACAGCTTCACAAATACTGTGTACTAAATGAAAACATTACAAGTGACAAAATTTTTAAAAAGACAAATGGACATAATTTGTTTTCTTATCTAAGTAACAGGTCATTTGGCCTCTCATTGGAGTAGGTTTTGGAAATATCCAAAAGAAAAGCCAACATTCTCCTTAGGAAGTAACTTTGGGTCTGTTTAAATGTTTGAATGTGCTCTAAGTTAAACTGGAAAAAAGCAACAACTTGTTCCTGGAAAGCTTTGATAGGAAAATTTACCAGTGTCAAGTTTTTGGGCAAAGTATTTAAAATGTAAAGTATTTAAAGTGTAGAATATTTTATATATTTCTTCTTGATCTTTACATTTTGTATGTATTTTAAAATGATTTAACATATACAAAATTGCTAACAAAGACAAGTTAATAATCACAACCTAATCTTTCCTGGCAGTTTTATTCTGGAGTTCTTTATATGAATATTGACGTTATCTATGAGTGCCTATATTATTTTAAATTTGTACTCTGTTTCAGTCTTGAAATACTTGTTCTCCTTCAGGGATCTGATGTGATGTATGAAACTGAAGTGCCTGGCCCACCTACTGTTTTAGCACTACACAACGGAAATGGCGGTAATCACAATCAAATAAGGGAGGGCATTCTGTTAGTTAAGTCTAGCTATTTCAGGTTTAATCATTTAACTATATATTAAGTGAAAATGGGAAATTGTAGAAAGAACATGAACTGGAATTGAGACAATAGTCTTCAGATAACTTGCCAGTAACTAACAGTAATGAATTATTGAACTTTAATTTTCAGTTTCCTTATCTTAAAATTAGATCAGGAAGGGTCTTATCTCTTATATTTATAAAATTCTGTGACTAAATAACCAACCCCCCCAAAGTAAGTGTTCTTTTTATATTTTTTAAATGAGATTTTTATGTGAAAGTCAATGTATACGAAAAATTTTCAGTTTTAAAGAGATGAGTCATGGGATAAAATTACATGTTGACTTTAATTATAACTAGGTGACTCTGGAGAAGACCTTTGGTTTGGAACATCAGATGGAAAACTTGGGCTTATTCAGATCACTACCTCCAAACCAATACACAAGTGGGAAATTCAAAATGAGAAAAAGCGGGGAGGTATGTTTTTGATGTAGTTTAGATTCTGAAATTTCATTGATTATTAAATATCCTGAATTATATAGTTCATTCTGTTTTATTTATTCATGGTACATAGTAGACCTAGCACTTCACAGAGCCACCTTACTGTTTGTTTATTTAGCAGGTCTGTCATACTTTGGCATAATTATTAATTAAGAAATGCTAATAGTAGTTTAGTATAGATAGGCTTTTATGGGCTAATGTCCATCCATAACATCATTCTATGCTCAAAGCCATTATTCACTGTTTGGTGTAGGAAATTTATTTGAATTTGAGAGTAGTTGATAGGAGACAAGGAAAAAGTCCAATGGGTCAGGGAATATTTCTATTTTCTAAGGAATTTATACCTTTCTGCGGGAATTTATATCTGACTTAGAAAGTAGTGAGATGGCTATTTATAGGTATAGTAATTCTATTCATATATTCATTTATTCCTTCAACAAATACTTGTTAGGTAACAGAGACAGAGAATAAACAAATGAATAAATGAGATAGCTTCATCCAGTTACCTGAAAGAAATATCAGAGGGTGGTGTATTAGTGATGGGTGGAGGGAGGAAGACTATATTTAGACTGGGTGGTAATGGAAGGCATCTTATAAAGGGTAAAATTTGAGCTGAGATCTGATTGATAAGAAAAGGAGTTAGTAATGTAAAAACTTGCCGGGGGCGGAGGGGGTATGCTGGAGAAAGAGGAAAAAGTCAGGACTTGAGGCAGGGGTAAACTTGATTCATTTGAGGAGCAGAGGGAAGACCAGTGTGGCTAAATGCATTAGCATGGCAAGAAAAGAAGTCAGGGAAGTAGCATAGAGCCAAATCATGTAGGTCCTTATGGGCCTTGTAAAAGGGTTTGGATTTTGATGTAAGTGCAGTGAGAAGTCTTTGGAGAATTGTAAGTGGGAGTATGACATGATCTAATCTACCCAAACAACAAAAAACCTACCAGAGAGAATGGATTTGGGGGAAAGCAGGTCAAAATTGGAAGCATGGAGATTGGTTAGGAAGTCATTGTTATAGTTGTTATAATTTATTTTACTCTAGGCTAGAGATGTAAGTGGCCTGGGCTAAGCTAATGGTAGTTGGAAATGGAAAGGAGACAATTTCAGTATGTGTTTTGAAGATAGGGCTGATAAGATTTGCTAAGGGATTTGATCTGGGCAGTGAGAAAGAGAGGAATCAGAGATGTAGCCTAGAATTTTGGCCTGAGGAACTGGGTGATACCTTACTGAGATGAGGAGAGATTGGGGAAGGAGCATTGAGGGGATGTGATTAAGGGGAATGAAGAGTTTTCACTGGGGTATGGAGAGTTTGAGATGCAAATGTATGTCTCAAAGAAAATGTTGAATAGAGACTTGAATATATGAGTCTGGAGCTCTGGGGAGACGCCAGAGCTGGAGATATAAACTTATGAGCCATTTCTATTTAGAGTATATTTAAAGTCTTGGAAATGGATGAATGTAGATAGAAAAGAGGACACCTGATTATGGTCCAAGGTTTTTGTTTTTTTCCCATTCTGATTTGGTATATACTTTTTTTTTCATTCTTTACTTTGTATATACTTGACTATGTGTTAGTTTTATTAATAACTTGTCACCTCTATAATCTTTTTTTAAAGGGATTTTGTGTGTTGACAGCTTTGACATTGTGGGTGATGGGGTTAAGGATTTACTTGTTGGGAGAGATGATGGAATGGTGGAAGTGTACAGTTTTGACAATGCAAATGAGCCTGTTCTACGATTTGATCAGGTCAGTTCATTTAAAAAAAGACTATATATGCTTATTCATCAAATAATTATAGAGATAACTATTATGGTTTGGGTTTTATTAAATCAAATATATTAAAATCTTGTGTTTGGCTTAGAATATTGCACCTTTGATGTTCTCAAAATCTTCTCTAGACCACTCTTGTGTTTGAATAATAGACTGTTGCCTTCCTGCTGAATAATAAATTACTGCTTCATTTGGTTTCTAAATATTGTATATTTGAAGTATTAAATATTTTGCCTTAGTTTATGTAATGCATAGTAGATTACAGGAGTAACATTTATATGTTTGGGTAACATAAACAAGACTGTGTTATTTCAAGATAATAATGTTTTAGGAGTAAACTCATGTTGTTAGGACAATATCAAAATATTCTTAAGCAGAGAGAGAAAAGTTGCAATTTCACTTCTAGCCACCCAAGAGTTTACCATATGAGAATTACTAGATTAGAGTAATTTTAGTTCACAAATTTTAAATGTAGTTCAGCTTGTTTATCCTAAGGTACAGAGTTACATGGAGAATCATTCTGCCGTAAACAGAATCTTTCATTTTCATGAAGTGGTGTTCTCCAGTCCACGGTTTCCCATCTTGCCTCAGGCAGGATTCATTGAGGCTGTTTTAAAAAACAACAACAAAAAAACCACAACTCAGTATCAACTAACTTTTCTTTGTCTAATTTCTGTACTAGTGCTACCTCTCAGTTCCAGCTTTAACTGCAGATCAGCAAATACAGATGTTTTGATGTATAGAGAAAGTATATTACATAGATAATATGAGGATAAAAACTCTCTAAAGGTTTCATATAGGCTATCTTCTTTATTCATTAAAAAAACTATTTGGGAAAAACACATGAGAGATGGTATATGGAGTTCAGATAGACTAAACATATTGGGAGTTTTGCTTATGTAACTTTTTAAAAAAGTTTCTTTCTTGGGATGCCTGGGTGGCACAGTGGTTGAGTGTCCAACTCTTGGTTTCCTCTCAGGTCATGATCCCAGGGTCATGGAACTGAGCCACACCTCGGGCTCCGGGCTCAAGGGAGAGTCTACTTAAGTTTCTCTCTCCATCTCCCTCTGCCCTTCTTATGCCATGCACATGCGCTCATGCACACAGTCTCCCTCTCTCTCTCTCTAAAATAAATAAATCTTCAAAAACAAAAAGCAAAAAACTTCTTTATATAAATAAATGATTTTTGCTCATTAGGTGACTGATGAGGCTAAGTGCAGCACACAAATATATGAGTCATTTTCAATATTCTTTCCCCAAATTTAAAAGCACTGGAATTTTATGCCATTTGTGCAGGATTTTTGCCTTCCAATCTCATTGTTTCCACATGGTAAGTATTCAATAAATGTATGTTTTGAATGTCTGGAAATGGGAAAATAAGTTTTATGGCTTATTTTAATATGTGAATTTTTTAGTCATTAATGAAGTGCTTGATCTTAAATTGATTTTAGATGTTGTCTGAAAGTGTCACATCTATCCAGGGTGGTTGTATAGGGAAAGATGGCTATGATGAAATTGTGGTATCCACATATTCAGGTAAAGTAAACGGTAGTAAGTAAAGAAAGAATGAATAAGAAAAAACTTAAACATTTAATAAATTAGTTTTGATGACTACTTTTTTTAAAAAGTGTTATTAGGAAATCTTACCTATATCGTTAAACCTTTATTGATTAAAAAATGAGGGAAGTAGTGGGTGTATTGATTTATAAAACAGTTAATATTTGAATAATACTTGTTAAGAGTACTTAGCATGCTCTAGTATCTTTGAAAATTAAATCATATTCTTTGTTTTAAAAAGAAGTATTTACTGAAATTTAGTTTTGTTATTGTGTACATTTCTTATAAAAATTTCCTTGCTTTTGAGATGGTCATTTTTGCATTCTCAAAATAGCCGGTGTGAGAGTTTAATTTTCCATGAAAATGATTTTTGAAAGACGGTTTTAATTCATCAGGTATTTGCTAGAATGTGTTGACTTATTCCATACTTGAAAACTAAAACTATAAGAAGTGAAAGATTTCCTTAATCATAGTATTATAGTGTTTCAGGCAAAATAAAAATAGTATCAGAAAATGCCTAAGTAATTTCTTCTTTATGGTTTGAATATTTTCCAACTTGATTTCTTTTGTTTTTTGTTTTGTTTTGTTTTTTGAAGGAGAATAAGTCCTAGACTAAATGAGGTTGCTGTTGGTGGACACAGGGGCATGTAATAATTGGGGTTTCTTTTAACACTAGCAGCACTAAGTGGTGCATGATTAAGTAATTTCATCTCTACAGGCTGGGTTACAGGTCTGACAACAGAGCCTGTACATAAGGAAAGTGGACCGGGAGAAGAACTGAAAATTAATCAGGAGATGCAGAATAAAATTTCTTCTTTAAGGTAATCTTGGATTTTTTTTGTTTGCTTTTTTTTTCATTTCATGAAGTGTGGGGTTGTTTTTTTTATTACTAATAGAAGCAGAATATTGGAAGGAACTATACCTTTTAATTCACTTATCACCTTTTTAAATGAAAGTTTATCAGTTTGAGAAAATTAGCAGTAAGTGCTAATTAGTTATTTCAAAGTTAGAAATATACTTTTATATGCTTTATTCTATAATGACTTTTTCTTAGATCATATTTTCACTTGTTTAGTTATAGATAGTTGTAATGTTTTGTTTTTTCACAGGCATTAGAAAGAAACCAACACAGATGCTGTGTTCCTCATTAATTGTAATGTTTACTGCTCCTATAGACCCTTCTGAATCTTTAACTTTGGCTTATCAGTTTTTTTACTAGAAGTGAGTAATGTTGATTCCTTTAGACACGGGGATTGCTTCTGTGGCCTATTCAGTTTGACAAGTCCTATGAAAAGGGGCCCCAGACTCAAGTAAAATTGCTTCATATAATGAAGAAGTGCAGGTTGCTAAAACTTTTAATGACTGCTCTCCCTACTTCAACCCTTGCCAACCTCTTGGGGCAGTGACGGCCAATCTTTTTTTGGTTGAGGGCTACAGAAGTTTTTAAGGCAGCAAAATGCCACAAGTACTAATTCACTGAAGCCAAACAAGTTTACCACAAGCCAGTTTAGCAAAGCCATCTGGAGAGCAAGCTCCAACTTTCATGCAACAAAGAAACCAAGTAGAGTCAATGTCTACTATCTCACATCCTCAGTATAATACCATACATTTATAACCCAGTCTATCCCTCCTGATTCCAGTGGAATATGGGATGAGAAACTTATGTCTGTTTTGTTCATTCAGTACCTACAACATAGGTACATATGAAGCATTCAGTAAATATTTCTTGGACGAATAAATCTTTTCCTTTGTTTATTGCACAAATCTCTTCCAAGCTCTTCCCAGACTTTTCCCCCTAAGTTGGGGCTGGTGAAGCCTCATGTTGTTGTTTCTCAGTTACTATTTGCTTCATTTGCATATGGGTTTTCCCCTTAACTGGAGTGACTCTAAGCAATGAAGCAATGCCTGTACAGTTCAATCTAAGCAAAATCCTCTTCAACACTTAATAGAACTTCTGCTGTACCACTGGCTCATGATCATCCTATGGTCCCCAAAATGTGAATACTCTGTAGCCTCCTTCCTTTGTCTGTCTCACCCAATTCTGATTGAAAGGTACATATTTACACATTTTGTTTCTTCAAACTAAATCTGTTTCTCAGCCCCAGTACAATCAGTTTCTCTTCTAATTAGTATTTTATGTAACTGTAACTAGATTTGTGTGTTAGAATTGATTATTTGCAACCTGCTTTGATACTTACAACTCTTTATTAATATTGCTGGTATGGAACTGAGTTTTGATTTTTAGATTAGAGATAAATAATGTGGAATTGTTTGGCCAGTCAGAAACAAAATTTTGTTCCTATTAGTGTCATAGTTCTAGTTCACCTAATAAAAATCCATTTTGCAGAAGTTAATGTCTCAAATTCTTGTAATCATTCTAAGGACTTCAAATGTGTGTACTTGTAGGTGACAGAGTTGTATATATTTTCCTCTAGGAGTGAGCTGGAACATCTGCAGTATAAGGTAGTACAGGAAAGAGAGAAATATCAACAGTCTTCTCAATCAAGCAAAGCAAAATCAGCAGTACCTTCGTTTAGTGTAAATGATAAGTTTACATTAAATAAAGATGATGCCAGCTACAGTCTCATCTTAGAGGTACAGACAGCGATAGATAACGTCTTAATACAGGTAAGCAAAATGTCTAATTTATTTGTTTTGTGATTGGATCTATTTTGCAGATCAGTCATATACACTAATTATTGAACACTTTTAATTTTAGACAGTAATTGTGTTTATCTTTTTTAAAATTTTTTTTCAAGATTTATTTGAGAGAGAGAGCACACCAATGGGGGGAGGGGCAGGCAGAGGGAGAGAGAGGAGCAGACTCCCCACTGAGCAGGGAGCCCAACGCTGGGCTCCAGTCCAGGACCCCGGGATCATGATCTGAGCCAAAGGCAGACGCTTAATGACTGAGCCATGCAGATGCCCCTTTAAGTGTTTATCTTTTAAATGTTGCATTTAGTTTAGATAAATTTAAAGGCCTATCTTAATTTTCCATTAGATAATCAATTGCTCATAGATTACCTGGATTAAATCTTTACTTTTTATTTATACTATAAGTATTAAACAAAAGACTCATGGACTTAAGTTTTAGGAAACATCAGAAAGAAGTTAAGGGTTTTGTTCTTTGGTTGACCTTTAAGAAAATTTGAAGAGATGTGACAGAAAACTACAGTATTCAGTGCCCTTGTTAGAATCTTTTTTTAAGGGGCGCCTGGGTGGCTCAGTTGGTTAAGCAGCTGCCTTCGGCTCAGGTCATGATCCCAGGGTCCTGAGATCGAGCCCCACGTCTGGCTCCCTGCTCAGTAGAGAGCCTTCTTCTCCTTCTCCCTCTGCCTGCCACTCTGCCTACTTGTGTTCTCTCTCTATCCCTCTGTCAAATAAATAAAATCTTTAAAAAAAAAGAATCTTTTTATAAGCTCCAGATTCTAAAATGGTACAGCTTGCTCATTAGCTATCAGTTTCTAGGTAGGTTAGTAGACAAAGTGGGTAAGGACAAAGGGTGAAATTTAGGGATAATAATATACAACTCCATTCAACAATATATTTAATTAGTTTTCTTTAAATTGGATGATATTCAGGGAGTGGAAAAGGATGATAGTAGGATGAATGGAAAACAAAAGATTGAAAACCCATCAGATAATGAGAAAAGAATAAAGATGAGGAAGAAGACAAGGTTTAAAAAGATGTGGGGGAGAGATCAGATTATTAATTAAAAAGTAAAGGCTGAAATCTGTCTTAAGTAATGCTAGCTTAAGAGCTGCAGTTAAGGGAGGAGGAGCAAGATGGCAGAGGAGTAGGAGACCTAAATTTCGTCTGGTCCCAGGAAATCAGCTATTTAGGTATCAAACCATTCTGAACACCTACGAACTCAGAGGAGATCGAAGAAAAGAATAGCAATTCTCTGAACAGAAAAGCGACCAGTTTCTGGAAGGTAGGACGTGCGGAGAAGTGAATCCAAGGCAATATTCAGGAAGATAGATGGCGGGGGAGGGGGCCTCCGTCAGCCGCTACTG